AGAGAGAGAGAGAGAGAGAGAGAGAGAGAGAGAGAGAGAGAGAGAGAGAGAGAGAGAGAGAGTCGGGAAGTGTGTGATGAGCTTCTTCTTCTATCCCTCTAAGCCACTTTTGAATCTTCTTTTTTCCTTCTGAGCAATTTTGGTATTCGGCGCGAGTCCCCCCTCTTTTTCCTGTTTGGATCGACATTCGAACTTGTCATTTGTTATTTTCTGTTAACGTGTATGTTTTCGTTTGCTCTCCTCGGGTGTCGATGAACGGTTGTCCTCTTTCCCTCCCCTTCTGTGTCCTCTTGGGTTGATAGATCTAACGGATTGTTCCCCAACGATTGGACCTTGCATGATTTGCATGGATGAGGCGTGGTCCTGTCTACGTAGGAATAGGATAGGGTATGGTAGACTATTAGATGACTGCTTCGCTATAGGATGATGTTGTGGGTTTCTTCTTCTATCCCTTTGAGAACTTTTCGCACCTGGTGCAGGTCGCTCTTGCTTTCTTCGAACGACATTCCAAATCTTTTCTGTGTTCGTCTCTACTAATCGATGCATGAATGATTGTCACCTTCTTTTTTCCTTTTTTTCATGTATGCATAAAACTGGGCGCGTGGGCGATGGGTGTTTGTCTGCCGAAGTTAGGAAAGTATGCTAGACGATCAGATGTCTATCTCACGATAAGACTATCCACCCTCGGTTAACTGGCCAGCGCATACGAGACGCGGGGCATTAATCTTGTCCATCGGACCGAAGGGCAGGCCCTGTGCACGCGCGTGTACGGCCGATCAGGAGAACGCGGTCTACACACGTGCTTGCAGTGCCTGCGCCCGGTCCAACTTCTCGAATGACTAAGTTTTTGCTTCACCCCACAACATGAATATTGAACTCCCTTTTCGAATTACGGACCGCCAGTGTCTAAGGAATCCAAAATTCTGGGAATATTGGAAACACGTGTGTTTGTCCGCACGACCGAGGGGAGAACTTCCTGCATTCCCATACCCGGTGGGAAACGAACGTATCTGCGAGTGGGACATCGACTGAGCTGGCGAGCGCATTCCCCACCACCCTGAATTCCCCAGCTCGTACAAGTGCCACCTCGTCGGGGAACCGGGAATAATCATTCTGGACACAGACTTCCCTCCTTACCACCGAGTACTGCCCTTCCATTCGTTGACCATCATCCCTCGGCGTGCCATCGCTCCATATTGGCCCCAACCCCCATGCTCGGAGTGCCTGCAAGACCGCGAGTACCGAGCCTCCGGATTCATCCGACGACCTCGCTCGGAGGAAGAACGACGGGCACACAGCCTTCGGCTAACTCCGGCCGCGTCGGATTCTGAGACCAACCACACACGGCGCCAACAAGTGGTCAGACAGCGCGATAGCTATAGCATCCCGCCCATACACCAAATGCGAGTCCGACCCAGACGATGAAACCCGCAGAGGTGATAGACCCACGCTCAAAACCATAGGAACCGACTTCGACCCCCGCCTACCCTCTTGCATTTCTATCTCTGAAACTTGCCACAGGAGATTTCAGTTCCAACATGGGACTCCACCCCCACTTTCCTAAAATCATGGGACACCCCCTTTTTGCACTTTCAAGCCCACTCACACTCCGATCAGGAAGTCGCGCCGTGCGTGAGGTTGGTATCGGAGCCGACACGTTGCGGGTCCAGAGACTGCCAGTCAGGTAGGATACAAGGGACGACCTTGCGAACAAGGGGCGTCCTAGGCAAAGGAACGCGCCACGACGCGACCCTATAGTAACCCGAAGTAGATCGGCAGGTCTGTGGGCTGCCAATATGAATGCCAATCAGGCACCCAATGTGGGAGGGGGCCCAGCCCCTCAAGCACGTGCGCCAACGACCCCGTCCGATCTCTACCTCTTTGATTCGGCACATCATCTGGCCGAGGCATGGTTAACCACATTGCACGCACAACAATACGATAATGATGAAGCTAGGATCAACATCCCTGCCAGGTTAGGAGGGGATGCGCACCATTGGTTTACCACTTATGTATGGGTCGATTTCCCGACCTTCGAAAGACACTTCCTGAACAGGT